TACCTTTTTCTTTTATATTCTTTATTTGCATAGTTTGATGGAATGTGTCCTTTTACAAGGACAAGATTAACAGGAAATGATAAAATATTGATATGAAGTGACAGATTTTAATTTTTTCCCTCAGTAGTGTAGGAAATAAGGCATGTTTGCAAGGATTAGCTTAACCCAGTATAACTCAGTTTATGAAAGATCTTTAAAAGTTGAATCCTGAGGTAGTTGACCCAAAAGTACTGTGAGGAAAGTGAACATTAAGCAATTAACTTTACAGTTAGGATATATTTATTACTTACATGGGCCAAAATATTTGCAGGAACACGTCAAAACTCGTTCTTTCTCTAACTTGCTTTAAAAGCATATCTCAGTATAATCTTCATGACTTCTGTTCTTTAATAGTATTTTTAAACCAGAAGCCAGTATATATTTTCAGATGGTAGGAAAGATGCTGTTTTCTATGGTGGAAAACAGCTAAAATTGGAAACTGAAATCCTTGAATGTTCACCAAGACGGAACAAATTATTTGCCTCTCTTTATTTTGTAATTAGAATGTAAACATTGAACCTTGTCAGAGATAAAATATAGGAGAAAACGAAAAAGCAGATTTATTTCATTCCATTTGTTTCTGATCAGAACATGGTGTAAGGTATTTGTGGCCTGGCAGAACCAGGGAAAAAAACAGTAAATGAACATGAAAAAATTATTGATGATGTCTGAAATATTGCATAGTTGCCACAGACCTATAATGACATATTTCAGAAGAGGGCGAGCAGCTACCTTATTCAGCACTGCCAGACAGGGCCACATCCCATAAACTCTGCTGCTTAAAATCAGATTCTACAGTTTTTGACATAAAGGCAGTAGTAATTTTTGATTCTTGTAACTCTTCATATTGTTTCAAAAGAAGAATTCAGTACTGCAGAGGAATTAAAATAAACTCTCCCTTCTCACTCTGTATTCTGAAGTACTCATGTCCTAGGACCTGAAGGGATGATCTGCACAGGATTCTGCCTGTACTGTTCAGTGCCTTGGGGTTATGAATATTTATTAAGAATCAAGCCTATTTCATAATTTACTGCTTTCTCAATGAACAGATAAAAGTCTAGGAGCATAACTATAGTTAGTGTGATAAGGAGAATTATGACTACCAAGTTTCTACTATATTCCCAATTAACTCCCAATACTTCCTGCTAATTTCATTTTCCCTCTTGCTTAGAAATGTGTGTAAGCCTTATCTTGCTCAGCTATTTTCTGATTTCTATTTTCAATGGACAGGAAAGGGAAAAGGTTAAGATATGCCTTTATTGTGGGATTTAATGCTTAGACCATTATCCCAAAAGTCACTTGTGACTTTTCCTTCAAAGACCAATCTGCCCCTCAGTGATTGAATTCAAAAGGTCACTCAAGATGCTGTAGTAACTAAGCTATGTGCACTGATCCAGTTCATAAACTTGTACAAAATATGATTCAGTGTGCATGCTCCTATGAAATACATGATTAATTGTGTGGAAAGTCTTCACCCTGAAATTTGAACACTGCTGTGTGATGCAGGAAAGAACATTTTATCTCTCTGTGGACTAATAATTTATTTAGAACTTAGAGAAACATCTGTTTGAGGACAGCAGATGACCATGGCTCATCCAACCAGGGGACATTGGCATTTATAAAGAGGTGAAAGCAGTTTATATTCCAAAAAAAAATATAAACTTACAAGCTGTTTGGTGAATAAAGAACTGGTACCAGTTTTAGGTAGGTATCCCTCTTTCCTAATATAGTCTTGGGAAGAACTTGAGCTTTTTAAGTGGAGGGGAAAAAAAATAGAAATGGTGAGGTTGAGAGGAAGAAGTGTTTGTACACAAACTTTGCTTCTCCTTGCCGATAGCAAAATTGAAGAAAAAGCTCTTGCAATACATGGAATTGAGTTACATGACTAAAAAACATCACAGCAGATTTACAGTTCAGTACACAAGGTGAGAGATCATGGGATATGATCCAAAAAACTTAGCTTACTATTTTAAATTTAATATCCTTGGTTTACCTGCCTTTGTAACATTTTATGTATGTTTAGGATTGCTAATGAATAATTTATTCTTTTCCTGGTCCCTTTATGTAAGGTTTCTTCAGAGTAAGAGTAGTACACACAATCCTATTTTACTCCATGACATGATAAAAAACCCCCAAACCAACCAACCAACACCAAAGAAAACAACAAAAGAAAGGGGAAATAATGGGTAGATGGATAACTTTTATAGAGATCTAAGAATATTCTTGTTGATATGCAGAAGGTTCCTCTGTGAACCTGGATATACAGGTATGGGTATTCATAGATAAATCTATGTGTGAGACATTTGTGGTGATCAGAAATATATTTGGCATAAAAACCATAAATAGGAAGAACAATAAAATATTCTTTTTACATCTGAATTGAGGGAGCAAAGAAAGATTTTTTTGAGGGTTTTTTTGTTTGTTTGTTTTCAACTCTCACCTTTAGCCTGACTGTTATTTTTCTAGACTATTGCATTACAGAGAAGCCTGAGTTCTAGAAGGGACAATTATGATTTATTTCTTCTTGGCCCAGGCATTGGACTGTCACACAAGCCTTGTAGAGACTGCAGCTGATCACTTAACTAAAGTATATATCACTGCTCAGGCAGCATTTCTTCTAGTCCAGAGGGAGTAAGGCACTCATCTGCAAGCTACATTTTTAAAAAACACCTTCTCTAGACCATTTTGACAGCTGTAGTATCAACTCTGTCCTTCTAGCCCACCATTATAATTGAATGCTTCATCCTTCACAGCGAGATGATAAATATGCTAGTTGTAATGTTACAGCACTTCTGATTGCCCTGCTTATTGGTAGCTTGTTCTATTCCACCTGATAGAGGAAGAAGGGAAAAAAAAGAACTTTAAACAGGCATGTTTTCAATCAAATCATATCAGATTAAATAAATCCTATTTTGAAGTTCATTTAATAGTCATCATCTCTGGTGGCACAAGAAATGCAGACAAGTGCTCTGGCAAAGCTGATAAATGAGTCATGACTAGAAAGGTTTATTGGTTTGATGGGGTTTTTTGGTAAGTATCAAGTATTTGTACTACTAGGACTTTGTTTTGATATTTCTATGCGCTTTGAGTCTCTGGTAAACAGTCAGACCAGACTGAGTTTTCAAAATATGTATTAAAGAACAAAGTGGGCTACGTGTAGGTATCTTACAGACCTCTCTGCTCTTTCCATGCAACTCTCACTGTCTACACCTTGCTGCCTCATGTGGTCAGTACATGTTGTCTATTTTCTTGGGGAAATAGCTGAAAATAATTCTATACTTGCAAGCTTAGAATGAGCCATCCAGCCTCTGTCTTTGCTGTATGTGTGCATTATATTCCAATTTTCCCTCGACTGCCAGAGTAATTTCTGTTGTCACCATGAGCAATGCATTAATTTCCCCCTTTAGATGAATTACTAGAGCACTCCCACAGCAATGAGGGAAGGATATGAGTCTGTGCACCCACTAGGATTTGGGACCCCAGGATTTATATCACTAAAAGAGGGAAAAAGGTATGTGAGAGGGCAGAGTTATATTATATTTAACTATAATAATTAAAAAGAGGTATTCATAACAGTGCTAGGTATAAAAGTCAAGCCAATAAAAAGTTGAGCCCTGGCTCTGGATGCAGAGAACCTGCACCTGACACAGGAATTTCTGCCAGCAGCGCAATTTGGTTTTCCTCTGTAGTCAGGAAGTTCAAGCAGCTGCATAATGATTACCTTAAATGCACACACTCTAAGGTGGGGGCTACTGTTGGTTCTTTCTTTCAGGTGCATCCAAGCAGGAAAAGACAGTATTTGGGTTTCTTTGTAGCCAAACTGTAGATCTTCCACAATTTACTGTACATTTTCTGCTTTTAAGGTAAATTCTGAACCCAAGAGTAGTGTACTTTGGAAAGTACTTGTACAATAAGGTCAGTACTCCATAGTGAATATTTTGTAGGCCTATGCAGTACAGTGATTTTTCCCTTTTTTTTTTTCTGGTTTGTGGTGGATTTTTTAGTTTTGTTTAGTTTTCACACTCAAGAAATTATCCAGGCTAGTGGCTACTGCAGCTGCCAAACCCACTCTGCCCTGACAGAGAAGAATGCAGAGCTCTTGAACTTTACAGATCCAGCTGTATCAAAGGATCTCTCACTGTATACATTTCTGTAATATATGATTTTACATATGATTTATTAAAAGTAATCAAAATTTCTCTCCTTCTTTCTACTTACCATTACTAATTTTATCTGTTTTTATCGAGGATTAGCAAAATTTGAACCTGGAAAGGATTTTATACTGCTTAGTTTTCAAAAGATTCCTCTTTAGGAGAATAACTTAGAATTTTTTCACAGTCTGTAAAACCTACAGAAAATCATAAATTTTCTTTGGTAATCTTTTACTTGAACTGAAGGAAAGTTAAATAAAGATAATTTAAATGGAAGGAAGAAAAAAGGAAGAAAATGGTGGTCTGATGGGGTTTAATGGAGAAAGCAGGTTTCTTTGGTTTAACTAAAATGGATTTCCTGAATGTTCCTAAATAGTTGTCTACTTTTTTTTTGAGAACTTTTTGCCTTCCAGATTGGATATTACATATTTAAATGACTGTTTTTAAAAATGGAGCTGATTCAGAAATTCTTACCTTGAACAAACAGTTGTAATTGGTTCCATTCTCTCTCGTGTACTTACCAGGTTCTTTTTCTCTTTTTTTAGCTCTTACATGACTAAGCTGCCAAAAGCATGCACATAACATGTCCTGATTCTGTTTTTTTGACAGTTAAATTACACTTAACTAATATTTAGGCAAATATTAGGTTTTAAAAATTCTGCATGCATCACCCCAGCCTAATATCTAAGTTAATTCTACAATTAAAAATAGGTCACAGGGAGTAAAATCCTTCCTTTATTTTGTAAGGTTATTTCATGTATAAAAGCAATAAGCAACTATTTGGACTTCTGGTCTAGAAATGGAGGCACATCTTTTATTTCAGATTTTGCTAGATTTTTAGTACATAAGTACATTAGCATTTATATTAGATTTTGACTTGTATTTCTTCCAATCTTGCAGTTCTCTTCTTCATGGCATGCTTTGGGCATCAGTTACAGCTCAGGATAAGAACTCTGGTTTATTGTGAGCATTCCTTATACAATTATATTCTGCAATGAAATTGTTAAAAAAGACAACAGTTATGGAAAACAGATTGGGATAAAGATGGGTGTTAAAAACATTGCATAGCCATTTTTTGGGGGTGATCATAAACCTTTTGTCAGATTAGGAAGATGACTTTAGAACTGTGTCCTTTTTGAAACAGTGTGAGATTGCTGGGAAGAGAAATGTTTATAAATGCTTGTACTGAAACAAAACTAAATACACAAACAGCTAAGTTTTGCATCTTCCCTTGTTATTACACCACCACAGAAAGTAGATTTCACAGTATCAAAATGAGCAGAAAAACCCCTCTGTCTGGGGGGACAGTGGGTTGTTTGTTTCTTGGTTTGTTTAAATTTTATTTTATTAAATGGAAGAGATAGAGCAAAAAGAAACTGAGTTTCTGGTAGATGATGAGGTAAGCTCTGTTGACCTGTTGCTGGCAAAGAACCAGGGAGTGCAAGAGGTGGTGGTAGTGTTGTTGCTTTTTAAATTGCCTTGAAACTAGGGCTGTATGGAGAATTACTGCACCAGAATGGTTTGTCTTCACTCATCCTTAGTAAAGTCAGACCTTTTATGTAGAGGAGATCTGACCATCTGCATGGTTAAGTTTCCTAGAAACTGGAAAAAGCTTTATAAACAAGTTGTTCCAAGCAGCCCAAATAAAAGACTGCCCCCGTGTCTTAGAGAGAAGCATGATCATTTCTATGGTGAAAAATTTTTAATCTTGTAAGTTTGGAAATCAAATTTTGTAGAGATGTAGAACTCTAAACTTATGTTCATGCAAAGCATTCTGATTTTGCTTCAATTATGTTTTCTCTGTATAAATGGTATAATATTAAATGACAATGTGAGGGTCCACAGCTCAATTTCATGTGTGTAGAATTGTGTCAACAGGATTTGGCAAACACTTTGATGCATCCAAATATATGGTCTGTACTTGCTTTAGTCTGATAACTGATAAAAGAGAGTCAGCTCTGCTGTGGTATAGGTAAGTACAGCACTGAAATCCACACAGCCAGACTTCTGCAGCATTAAAAATGGACCACATGCCATAGGAACGCTGTTGATAGCTCATCCTTCATATTGAGGGTACTGGAGTATATTTTGTTGTCAGTCTAAAGAATTGTTCTGTAAGGTTTGATGAGGATCCAGGATTTTTCTGCTTAAAGAACCCCACAGGGCCATGAACATACACAGAAAAAGGGATATTAATATCAGGTATTTTTGGATGTCAGGCACTCAGTTTTAAGCAATGCAAAAATTGAGGCAGAGTGGGAAGAGAGAGGAACAAGTATTTATAACTGTATTTTTATATGAAAGGATATTGTTTATTGTTACATAAGAACATAGTCCTAAAGGGAGTCTTAAGGCCATGCAACTGGTGAAAGGGAGATCATTTTCCTCTGCATATTCCCATTACTTTCCTATTTCTGTGTGTCTGAATATAACAGTGTCAATTTAGCCAGTTTGCATGACAAAAAGCATTTATTTTATCTTTCTAACATGGTAAATGTGTTCTGTGTAGTGAGAATCCAGATCTATATGAAACAGGGAAACGAGTTCACATTGTCAAATTCCAGCTAGAGTCTAAAGTGCCAGGCATATACATTATTTGTTACCTTTCTCTTTTATGAGACTCCAGATCTGATATGGGTCTGGGTCTGAGGAATATCCCAGTAAAGCATACAGAGCACACCTCACTCGAGAGTCTCATCAGGACTCTCACAGATGTGGCCTGAAGGATGTTCAAGGTATCCTAAACAATGCGGCATTAGCAGTACCTGGTCAGCTCCTCTCTGCTTAGATGACATCTTGGAAGTGCTCTGGTCTTCCTTGAAGGTCTGTGGTGCCTGCAAGGTAAAATCAGATCCCATGAGATAGAAGTAGGCAGCATCTGCTGAGGACAGGAGCCTTGATGTCTGATGAAGAACAGTGCTGTGGCAGGGAAAGCTGTATGTGCGTTCTGATAATGGATTAAGTGGTAAAATTGATTGAAGGCTTCTGACAGACATGTTAGGGTGGATTCATTGCATGCTTCAATCCTATTGGAAAATGTTCATGAATCTCACCAAGACATGTATCTGTTAGATTCCCTTCCTCTTTTGAAGTTTTGAGTTATTCCTGTTACCACAACCTGGATTTCCACTGCTGTTACGTTGCAAGCAATTCCCAAAAGGTAAACTGCAGGGGTGAATGAGTACTGAAAGACATCATCTATGTAAATATGGACTCTTCAGAAGGTAACTAACAGGAAAATTCAAATCTAGTTCTTGGCCTGAATTGAGAACTCTTTCTGGTGAAGCTGATGAGGGACTGCTGCCATGTTCCATGTTCTCCATTGCTAACTTGAAGTAGAATCAGCAGCATGAGTGAAAATAAGTGCTTCAAGGATCTTTGGTAAAGATATTGCTATGTATCAGGACACTAAAGTTCAATTAGTGTTTATGATGTGGGATTTTTAAGTTAGGTTTTGAACTACTGTGACTAGAGTGTCTTTCACCAGTAAACTGTATTGGAGATTTCACAATAGTTTTGAGGTTGTTAAAATGTTTTTCAAAATGGAAAACCAGTTAGATTATGTTTCAAAAAAGAAGTATAAGAAAAAAGGACCTGTTTAAACAGGTGTCTGAAATCTGTTAATTGGAGAGAATAAATGGATGAAATGAAGAATATGTGAAGGTAAGTGATTGCTGAAGCTTATAGGAAATGTCAAATGCTGTAAGAATTTCTTATGACTGTGAAGAGCTGTATAGACCCTGGAACTGAGAGAGGAAAAGGGCAAGCTTGAAAGGTGAAAGATTACAAGTCTCAAGTGGCTGGACCATATTTCAGGGTTCTGGGAATCACTGTAGTAGGAAGCCTGTTTGTGAAAAGGAGGATGAGGTATGGAAGAACACGGCAGGAAAATCAGTATCTTGTAAAAAAAAATCTCTGCAGTAAAGGGAGAACAACTGACATCAATATTGCACTTGGAAAAAGTCAACAAGCTTGGAGTCTATCATGTAAAGACTTTTAGAATTATGGTAAAAATGTGTTGCCCTCCACCTGATGTCTCACTAAAGACAAAAAAACCTTTTAATGTGTATAATGTTTTTCAATACAAGTTTATTTTCTTTCCTCTGTTTTCAGTCCTGGGAAGGGTACTCCAGAATTCTGTTTATCGATCTGAAACTGAAAGAAGTGGAAAAGGAAAGGATCATCTTTTTGGTTTTTATGTCTCTAAAGACAGCTTTCAATCAATGAAGCTGATTTTTTTTTTTAAATATCTTCTCTTATTATAAAAGTCTCATCCTTATTTATCAGAAAAAAATAATGAATTTGTGCCTAGTAAAGGGAAACTTCTTTGTGGGGGGTAGGATTTAAATATTTTGAGTCCCATAAAACAGTGTAAAGCACAGAATGTTAGTAATAATAAGAACAAAAAAATCCTTACTTTGGATTTCAGACTGTGTTCTGTGTTACTGAATGCAGAGGGCTACCTAAATGCTCACCCTACCTTGCCAAGCTCCATGTTATTAAACTAGAAGTGAAAGAGTCATTAAAGTTCTGCAAGGGTGAGAAATGCAGGCTCCATGCAGCAGCAGCTGCCAGCTGTTGCAGTCTTGTAGGACAGTGGTTGTAGGGGTGGTTTTGTAGATCAGATTTCTGATCAGGCTATCATTAGGAGAGGCTGTTATGGATGGATTTGAGTGTGCTATGTCATATCTTCAGATTTGCAGCATGACTATTTCTAAATGAAATATGGGTGCTATAGGAGAGCTAGTATTTTTTTACATATCTTTCAAATGTACTGCAAGATTCCATTATTTTATCAGCAAAGATAACCCTAGTAGCTCTAAAGGTTGGGAACATGAGCAAGGAGAGTTAATGGGAACTTAATTTACCAGACATTTGGAAAGCAGAAAAAAATGATGGTGAGTGATGTAGATTTCTTCAGGATGCTACAGCATAAGTTATGCATTTTCCAAAAACCCAAATGCAGAGGCTTTCTTTGGTGTCCCTCCTGTTAAGAGATTTAAAGGAAGATTAAAACTGATGAGCTGCAGTACTTCTGCATAGTTAGCTTCAGCCATATGCTACAATTTCCTCAAGCCAATAGACAAACCCAGAGTTTTTAATCTTATACCGTTAGGCTTTGTATCAGAAGAGGAGCTGGAAAATTCAGTTTTTCCAGGTCTGATTCAGCATCTTCATTTGTAAAGTCTGCCTTGTTCATAATCTGCATACATTATGGTTGCATTATATACTGTCCCAGTGTCTGTTTTTGTCAGCTCAGTAATATAAAGTACCAGCACTGATGTGTGTAGTTGAGGATGAGGATCCTCAGGCAAGGTAGAGACCTAAGAGGCAGGCTTTTTTTTCTGCATATTATTGTATATGGCACTCCATCTCCCACAGCATGCACAATTGTATTTTTCTGTAAAGAAGGTGGTAGAAATCTGCATTTAAATTTACCATTGCATAGGAGATGCATATATCAGAGATGTTTATTAGCAGTAACCAGTTCTTGCTCAGCTTGTTAAATCTAAGCTTTGCAATCTCTGAAGTCAGTTTGCTCATGCCCCTGCTCCTCTCCCTGGAGCCTTGCTACCTGTCCCAGCCTTGCTTGGGACAGGTTTCTCTGCTGGAGAACTTTAACCACTTCCACTGAATTTGGACATAGCAGGGAGTTGTTTTTTCTCAAATTCTACTGCTTTCCACTCTGTAGGGTGTACTTGTCATCTGGAGTGAAACAGAAAAGCCATAGCAGTTGGCTGCTGGATGTGTAGCCAAAAGAAAAGGAATTTGTAACTATGTCTGAAATCTGTTAATTGGAGAGAATAAATGGATGAAATGAAGAATACGTAAAGGTAAGTTATTGCTGAAGCTTGTAACGGTATAGGAAATGCCAAGTGATATAACATAGCACTGGAGGAGAATCTCTATGAGCAAAGCTCATTTGAGAAGCTTTGTACCTTTAGCCACTCACAGAAATAAGAATAATTCTGTGTAGAGTACAAAGGTCTCCACTTCTGCTGCACAGTTTAATCACACCTGAGTTCTGCTTGTGTGGCTCAACCTTGGAGACACCTAGTACTTGGTGTTTCTAAGTTCTGAAGCACATTGCAGATCTGTAGTGGAACAGCTGTTTAGCAAAATGAAAAACGTAGATGACCCAAGTCCAGAAAAGTATTTTATTCTATTCTTAATATTTTGGAGATCTTCAGAAATAAAGACTTTTTAGTCAGAAATGTTAGAGATTGTACTACTTTTATCTTCTTAAAAATGGAGAGAAAACATAACAGAATAACCTATTGTTATGTAACATCACGCAAGTAAGTTAGAATTTGGCAAAACTAATTACTGCTAAAGATGTGAATAAGCATGGTCTGTATGAGTCCTGTCCTGAGCTGTCTTAGCTGACTCATAAAACACAAATTTAACTGTGGAATTGATTATTTGCTGTACATTTAGGTAATATTTACACAACAATTTGTCATGAAAATTCCTTTTGCTAATGATTTTTATATCATTTGGTGTAGCTGTGTCTGTATATTACTATGTCTTGTGCTTTATGACATCCTGGATGTACCAAAGAAATGCTGACAAATCAGATCACTCAACTGTAAAGTTCTCCTTGTGATCCCTGCTTCTCCATTATGGCTTACGTTACCACAGTACCTCTAATTCAAGCTCTCACATTTTTATAGAGGAGAGTAAGAAATATTGCTTAAATTATATAGCCCAAGGAAAGCAGGCAAGGAAAATTAGCATGGGATAAAGCAGGATCTAAGGCACACACCACAACTGCTAATTATTTCTATATAAATAACGGGTAGGCATGGGTTAAGATAGACTTCACAAGGCAACTGTAAGGACAGCTACTTAATTGTTGTTAAATGTATCAAAAACTTTTAAAGTAAAAGATATTTGAAAAAGTCCAACAGCTTTTTTTTTCCTCCTGCCCCTGCTCCAACCCCTTTCAGGTAAGAGGAGAAAGGAGAATACCATCCAAGTAAAATACTCCCATCATATCTGTAATGCAAGAGAGAAAAGAGGATTTTTATCATTTTCCATTTTAAAGTATTTTTATGGATTAGAGTGCCAGCAGATCTCTTGCTGGCTGTGTTGTGTGCCAAAAGCTTATACAGTCAGTACCAAATAGCTAACAGAATATAATTTCAGTGTGTGCTATTAAATGTTAAGAAGTGTGCACTGAGGACAGCTCAAAACAAAATTTCACTTATTTTAGAAAGAGCTTATAAAAATAGAAACAACATTAGAAAAATGAACATTTTCCTAGGAAAAGAAGGTTTGTAAGGAGACAGTGCTGGAGATGCAGTATTTTCCTCTTCTCCTTTCATTGATCTGACAAAAGCATTGGATGTGGTAAGTTGCTGTGCTCTTTGCAGCCTCACAGAAAATCCTTATCTGTTAAAGTAATTTGCAGTGGACTTCAGAACTGCTTCATATGAGCACCAAATGAAGCTCAACAGATTGATACTTTTCATAGGATAACTCAGAGTCCATCTTGTAAGTAGTCTTGTTCATGCTGTTCAGTACAGTGAGGTACATGATTGCTGTGACCTTCAACTCAGCATTTGGATTTTTGAAATTCACAAGTGTCACTTATTCTCTTCAAATAGTCTAAAAAATAGTCTAAATGGACAATTTGAGAATTCTTGGTTATAGCCACACATAGGTTATCCACTCCAATTTCTGATTTACAAGTGCTGGAGCAGAAATTTATTCTTCTCCAGACAGCTTTTAATTTGGCTGCCAGATGAAAAATTAGGCCTGCTAGAAGTAACAATAAAAAAGAGTGTCTGCTGACCCTCTAAACTGAACTCCTTGTCTGAAAGATGCTTGTTTTTTGGTATTTGCTGAGTAATAATGAATGCCTACTGAGAAATGGACCCAGGAAAAAAAAAAGTTATTACTGACAGGTACTTTCAAGAAAACAGCAGTCTGCCATCAGGCTCTCCACCAGGTGTATTAAGGCTTTGAGCTCCATTTGTCATGTAGGAGAACTCTTTGGGAGCTGGACAGAAGATAAATCTGTGGACTGGAGCTCTGCTATGGAAACAACAGCTTTCCCTTCCCTGGAGGACACTGTGCAATGAATTGTTCAGTGGCAATGTTCAGACTTCATGTTCACCAAGGTGTTGCTGACTAAAGTCCAGCTGTGAGAGACCAGAGAAACTGTCCATTTGAACTAAATGTGAATGCTCAGCTCCTGTGCAGGGAGGCCGAATGAGTCAACAGGAAGCACAGCTCCTGCCAGAGGGGCTTCTGGAGCTGGAAGTGTGCTCCTGACTGCTTGAGACACAGCACGAGACTCTTCAGGACCCCAACCACGCGTAATGCTGCGAGCAGCCTGGCTTCTGGAGGGAACACACAGGTCTAGCCAAGCTCTTTGACTGGAAAATCACTCAAGTCAAAGGATGCACCCAGCAGCAGGAGTGCCTTGGCCAGCAGACTGAATAGCAGCATAGGTTATTTAACACCTGTGTACTCACCAACCCTTGATTCATCTATGCCTCAAAATGCTCTCAATCCTCAGCTTTGAGGATTTTCCTCTAGTGACATCAAGGATTATGTTAACTATTATATTGTCCCTAATTTTAAATTTGCATCAAATTGTAAATAATAAGCTTCTGACTGTCTGAGTCAGAGGTGAACCTATCAAAACCACATTGTTTTTACAATCTAACTAGGATTAAAATTTTATTGTCCCTCATGGAATCTCCACAGAAATTTCAGGGTTGGGAGGGAAATGTGAAAATTTGATGTGAAATTATGCAAGGTTCTCTGGTAGATGTGTGTGCAGCTTTTTGTGAGAATTTAGTGACTTGAATTATTTTTTTCCCTTCAGGACAACACTGCCTATGTTTATTTTAATATGGTAATTGGCAATGTAAATAACAGACTTAAACTGACAGTGAATTTAAATGTGTGCTAAGATTAAACTGTGCAAGACAGAAGTTTGTTTTTATGTGGGTAGTTGTCTGCAGCGAAGGGGCGGTATGAGGTGATTTAATAGCATCAGTGTTTTGAAGTGTTATAGCCAAATCTGCCAAAACTACTTCTGTCTAGGTCCCATAAATATTACTTTCTGTAACTCCTGAGATAGTACTTTTATACCTTAGACTTTTTTTCCCCAGAGTTTACAGCTAAAAACAACTTAAGTTTTGCAGAGCTGTCTCTGTCTAATAGCATGAGACTAAAATTCTCCAATTATGTGTTCATTAATATATTGTATTATGAAAGTGAAAGGTGCCACCATTGTTCAAGAAAAAGTTAGACACTATCTTCAAGTGCTTACAATCTTTGGACCTTTCCCCTCCTGAAGCAGAGTTCTGCAGTTGCCTCTAAAAGGTGCAGGACTCAATTCTAAATCATCCTAAGAAACATTAAGGCTCTATTAAATAAATGTACTTTTGCTAAGAAGCTGAAGAAAAAGTCACCAGTCTAACTTATTCCATATAACCAAGAGGGTGATTAAATGTTCCAAATATGCAGAAGTCAAATGTCCCATTTCTGCTTTAAATCTTTTCCTTTTATAGGCTGTGGGTTATACTCCCTGCTTTGAAAACCTGTGCTGTTTAGGAACAAGAATTTATTTACAGTTTTAAAAACTTGCAACTAATCTTGGATGAATAGTCTGAATTAACCTTTGGCAGAGAAGTTGTAATTTCTAAGCCAACACATAACTGTATTTTGCATTAGTTTAGGAATATTGGGTACTTTGAGGGGTTAAGAATGAAATATTTTCCATGATTCATATCTCTTTTAACTTGAAAAGTCAACAACTCAATTCCAGTGTAGCCAAAAGGGGTTTTCAGTCCAAAATGTCTCATTGCTTGCAATTAATTTGGACTCTTGCAATTAGGGTTTGGTATCCCAATGCATTAATGCATGAAAACAGCTGCACAATGAGTAGTGCCACATGTTTGAACTAAAAATAATCTGTGTATATTGTTGCTGTGCAAACAGTTATACATTTTGGTCGCTGAAGATAATCTCTGTGTTAGAACAGCAGAGATGCAAATTGTACAACAGAGAGGGGACAATTGTGTGTGCCTGCTTGTGCCACTTACCCACGCCCTGTCCCTTTTTGTCTTAGCAAATATGCTGAATCCTGTTATTTAAATCCATGAAAAGTCCATCAAAACTTTTAGTGATAAACATACTTATGCAAATGGAAACAACTTTATTTTCTGTGAAATAAGGATTTTGGAGCTTAGACAACTGACATGACGTTTTAGGGAGGGGGGAAAAAGGTTGTGCTAGTTTAGAATGAATTTTGTCTTGCAGATATATCTATGGGCCAGGGTAAAAAACCCTCTCAGCTGAAAATGGCATGCTTTCCAACTTTCTGAGCTCAGGCCTTCTTCCACTGTGCTGGTTTTGGCTGGGGCAGAGTTAAATTTCTTCACAGTGTCTAGTACAGGGCTGTGTTTTGGATTTGTGCTGAACGCAGGATTGATAATATAGAGATGGTTTTTGTTATGTTATGGCCTTATTTTGTTATTTGTTATTCCTGTTTGTTGAGCAGGGCTTACACAGAGACAAGGCCATTTCTGCTTTTTGTACTGCCATGATGGCAAAGGCATTGGGGGTGCATCAGAGATTCAGAGGGGACACAGCCAGGACAGGTGACCTCAACACACCAAAGATATTCTAGACCACATAACATCATGCTCAGTTATGTAAAGTGAAGGGAAGAAGGAGGAAGGGGAGGATATTTGGAGTGATGGTGTTTGTCTGCCCAAGTAACCACTACATGTGATTGGGCACTGCTCTCCTGGAGATGGCTGAACACCTGCCTGCCCATGGGAAGTGGTGAATTAATTCCATTTTTTTTCTTTGCTTGTGTGTGCTGCTTTTGTTTTCCCTATGAAACTATATTAACCCACTAGTTCTCTGGCTTTTACCCTTTAAATTCTCTCCCCAATCCTGCTGGTTGGGGGATGAGTGAGTGTCTGGGTGGAGTCAGATTGCTGTCTAGGGCTAAACCACAACATCCACTTACAGGTCAGTGTTTTGTGGCACCATTGAAGAGTCTTTGCCTTTCAAGAAACTCCAGAAAATTTATTCTGATCCCCATTCTGTTAACATTCATGAATGGCTTGTCTATGGGTGACTCCTTTATCCAAACTTAGAGTAACTTTTGGGTCTCAAAAGCACTTGCTTCTACTTCCAGCCTTGCACCTTAATCTCTGCTCCCCTTTCTAAAGTCGACTATACAGAGGAAAAGATTATGTCTAAGTTGTTTTTCTTTTGTTTAAGTTCTGCAGCCTGTCTTATGCTATGTAGATGGTGGGTGTCCAGTGCAATACTGCCCTAGACCAGGGTCTTCACATGTGCTGGGAACTGCTGGCAAAGTGCACCATAACAAATGAGACCATACTACGTTCCATTAGAAGATAACAGGACTGCCAGCTATCACTGCTTTGTTGGTAACAACATCTTAGGCATGTTGTCTTTGTTTTCCAAGCTTCAGTAGAGTGCAATGTGCTTGACTGCCAACAGCCATAACTGACAGAATTTGGCTGCTCCCTCTCAGCATGGACCTCTTGTCTCCAGTCAAACAGCTTGGATTATAAATGTCCAGTGGAAATTGTGAAACTCCATTCCTGCGAGTAAGTCATGATCTTATTTGATGGGATGCAATTGCAGGTGGCTTTGGTCACCAAGCAAAACCTGAACAATCTGTGTGTGCCCTGTCTGAGCATAAAAGAATGGCAATATTGGTGAAAAAACATGCCCAGTTATAGTGTTAGCATATAATTTATACCAGAGGATAAAACACAATTATGGTGTATAAACTAGGTGCTTTTAACCATTTACCTGCCATTGGATAAATAGCTAATTGTTTTCAATAGTTCTCTTATGTCTGTTAAATTAGGTTAATGACAATATATTATCAAGCTGATATGTGCACTTTCTGGTTGTCTTTTTGCCAAAAATGCAGCATCAATTGAATACTGACAGTGGAGAAAGAGGGGCTGTAGTCCTGCAGCTGAGCATGCAAGAAGTGCAGCATAGAGAAGTGTTCAGTTTCCCATTAAGAAGGAGTCAAGAGAGGAAATTTTTAATACCAGAGTGTCAGCTATAAAGAGACTTTGATTTGTGATTAAAGAAACTGATTGCTATTGCATCTGTTCCTGAGAGAATGGGAAACAAAAAGGGATATATTCTCTCTAATTAGGATTACAGCTAAACCTGGGTATTTCCTACTTGTAAAGGTGAAAAACTTGGCTATTTGGGCCAGAAAGAATGATGGTATTTGAGTATGTCTTTCTCTTATTTCAGACGTGGTCTCTATTATTAACTCAATGTTCATTTGTTCTTTTAATTTTTATTTTTCTTTTTAGTTTTCCCTTTTGAGAGTGAGACAAGAGTAATGTATAACCATGGAAGAATTTGCATTGTACAAGGGTTTCCACTCCATGTTGGCAGACAAGCAGATGTGGGTCTGGCACCTCATTTGTGCTCATTTGGATTTGTTTACTGACAGTAAACAAACAAAAATAAACAAAAAACTGTGAGATAAAATTTTTTTTCTTTGTACTTTTGCCAAGATATTCTTGTGTACTCTCTCTGTGCCAGGATTTTCAGTAACGATGGCATTAAACTATACGCTCTTCTCCCTTTGGTTATAGCATCTAGCTCATTTATTTTTATTTAAATTGGCAATTTTAGAAATGCTCTTATCAGTTAAACCAGCTTCTCTTTTTTAGAATAATAACATGGTTGTGTGATTAAATCAAAAGTTCATACTGCAAAAAAGATCTTGTAATGCAGAGCTAGAGAAAATGAGGTATTAATTTCATCATGTATTAAAGATTTCTGTGTTTCTCCCTCGCTTTACCATAATAGCTTGTTTGGACAAATTTAAGGTAGGTTTGGCTGTAGAAATTTCAAGGTTCTGAACTCTAGATTTATATTTTATTTTTGAGAGGCCTAGAGACCCTATACAACCAACATTCCTTTGCCTGAGTTTTGTTCTCAAATTTTAATTAATAGACCGTTAAAAAAAAGGAACTAAAATATTTTTAAATATAGAGGGGAAAAAAAAAAAGGGATTCTTCAACAATATCTAGAACTGCAGATTCTGTGCCTTCTAAAAAAGTAAGTAGTAGCTTATTAACCCATGAGTATTTCTCTGTTGATTTAGATAGAAATTTTGAGAACCATCCCTGGGCTTTAGAGCCGATCTTCAAGACCATGCACACTGCAGGGAGTACTTGGGAGGTTTCATGATGAAAATGGAATCCAAACATTTGCAAATTGTTTGTTTCAAAACAGACACCTAAATGTGTCCAGTTGATAAACAGTCAGCATTTTTTTTTTTTTTTTCATCTAATTCTTCTCTTCACCTAGGTCTTGGTGTATTTTTTTCATCAGAATGCACATCCTTGAACACTCTGTTTGTAGATTGTGGTAAGAACGAAAATCTCTTTGGAATATAAAAGCCTCCTTTGACTAGGCTGCCCGTCCAGCATGTCCAGCACACAGGGGAATTTCCTTCTCTGCTTGAAGAGATAGAGATATAGAATCAGAAGGATGCAGGCTATCTTGGAAACCGGGGTCTCTGCCTCACTCCCCCCCTTTTCTTTTTTTTTTTTCAGAAGATGTACTGAAGTGTGGGAATAAAACTTATCCAGTACATCAGAGGGTGATCATCAGAAGGTGACAATTTAATATTATTGTTCATCACCTGTCTGGGATGGTGAATAGCCCAAGTATGTCAGTATTTAATATTAAGTAACTGCTAAAGAAATAATGTGTTTAGTTTTGGGAGCTGGAACTGAAAAGTGGTGCTCCTGCCACTGCCTTTCCTGGACCTCAGTTCATCACTGTTTCCTTTGCTGACTGCTCCTCAGGCTGTGTGCATCTAACATTCACTGCTGCAGACAAAACTCTGTCTCAACAGCAGAAACAGAATGTCCTCCTTCCTCCTCATTTCTGTGCAGCAATATCCATGGTCCGACCAAAGTCAAACTTTCAGGATTTTAAATTTGGCGAAAACTTGTTTGTGAATCCTGAGGCCCCTCACATGTGTTATAATCAAGAGAGTTTTCAGCCCGGTCCATGTATCAATGCTTTTGGCTATGCTTGGTTATGGAATATTTTTAGTCTTCATTCTTCTTTGTTAGTAAATAAATAAAGGTGGAAGTTTAATCATACGTGCTTAAACATATGAGTTGCCGTTCTTGCATCTCCACTGTTTGTACCCCCTTGTACTTCAGTGCCTATATGCTACCATCTGATTTGTTTATTTTTTATTTTCCTCCCCATATACTCAGAAAATTCAGCCTTGAGGAAAATTAGATGCATCTGGAAACATTAAAAAAGTCAAAATTCAGTCACAAAATTTGAAAAATAGGATTAAGTAAAAATAGGATTAAGTACTAAGGGATTTCAGGTTCCAGGATAAAACAAATAATACAGAGGTTTTGAAAATTTCAGTTTTGGATACAAATGCCTAAATTCCATTTCATGCCCACATTAGGCACCTAAGTCTTGCTTTTTCTAAACAAATAAGAAGGAGTTTTTAACAAGTGTTCTTTATAGGTATGATCAAATTCCTAGTATTGCAATTCTCTGCAAAACTGAACGCAAAAATAAAGAAATGTTTAAGGTAAAATCCTTTTTTAGGAATACATCAGAAGGCCAAAACAAAATCTAGACTGCAAAAAAAATCTTAATATCTGTAAATTTTGGTGCATGAAGAACTGGACCCACTTAACTACTGGTTCATTTAGACTTTCAGAAAGCTGTAGTGTTCTAATAAAAATACACATACTGCTCATAGTGGCTTGCACTAAAATGGTGTTCATGTAGCCCGACTGCTTTATGAGAGACATTGCTCTTCCCTACAAAAATGTGGATTCCTAAATCCAGAACAGAGGATGAAGCTTGGCTGCTAAAGACTAGCACTTATTGCCCTCAGGGAAAGTATTAGCTAACTTCTAGCTTTCTGAAAATGAGCTGTGGCAAGAAGCAGAGGTGTGAGAAATCACAGGGCGACAGTGGAAGTCTTTGGCCGAAACCCACAACAGAGGAGACTGAATGATCAAAGAGCAGTTCTCAGAAATCTGTGAGTACACCTCCTGCATTCTGTGCTGAACAGGAACACTGAGGTAGTGTGCTGCAAGCTCCTGGTCAATTAGAAAAAGTGGTATTGGAACAAGGGACACAAACAATGAAGCACTTCTGCTGTGTACTGCACTATTAAAATACAATTCTAGTAATGGAAGACTGTTCAGGCCAGTGTATCAGGATCAGAAATTCCTGTACCTATTGCACTTCAGGAACTTGGGAGAGAAAATAATGGAAAACAGCAGATGTAAGGAAAGATTTAAAATGGAAGGTTAAAAATGCATACAGATATTAAAGTTGTTTTTTGTGTTGAAAAAGTTAAAAATGCATACAGATATTAAAGTTGTTTTTTGTGTTGAAAAAACACAACATTATTAATTATTTATTAAACTTAATAAACATTAATAATAAAACATTATTAATTAAATAATAAACATTATTTATTAAACTTAATAAACAAGACACTATCTGAACAACACATGATTGAGCTGAAGCTCTTGTATTTTAGATAAGTCATGCTATCAAAAAAGGAAGTTAAAGTACTTTGTGTGAACCACCTAACAATACTGCTTACATGAAGTCTCCCTAGGGGGAAATAGGGCACTAAAGATCACCCTTAATTTCCAATGGCAGATAACTGTTTGATGAATGGAATGGAATGGAATGGAATGGAATGGAATGGAATGGAATGGAATGGAATAGAATAGAATAGAATAGAATAGAATAGAATAGAATAGAATAGAATAGAATTAGAATAGAATTAGAATAGAATTAGAATAGAATTAGAATAGAATTAGAATAGAATAGAATGCTATTGATAGCCAATAGAAAAGAAAGAAATCTATTTTTTTGTACTTGTTCAAGTGAAGTTAATTAAATTAGCGGCAAAAGAAATTAATTTATTTACAGGCAATATTTCTGCAATAAATAAATTTGTTTCTGTGTAAGTGTAAAAAGCAGTCATAGCAGTCAACTCTGCACAGATGATAGTTTGGTGGGGGTTGTTTTGCTTGTTGCTTGCTTTTTGGGTTTTTTTTTTGAGTAGGAATCCCAAAAGAATCTAAATATAGTGTGGATCTGAATAAAGAATTGTTTTCTTTCTGTTTGTTGAATTGACAAACTGCAAACAATTTATGAAAGAAAAAAGGCAGTTTAGCTGTAAAATGTGAACTAATTGATCCACCTGATTAAAGGAAGGATGAAAAGAAGCACGGAGGTCCTTTAGTAACAGTAACACACATGATGGGGGAACCTCCCTGGAAGAATTCAAGAAATGACTGCCTGTGGCACTTAGTGCTCTGGTTTAGTTGACACAGTGGTTTTCTGTCAAAGGTCAGGCTTGATCACCTTGTAGGTCCTTTCCAACTTAATCATTCTTTGATGCAAGAATCAAAAAACAGAACCCTCTGTTCAGCTGGTAGCTGTCTTAGAGCTAATTTTTGGGCTTGAATATGTTTGGCAAGTCCCTGATGGTGCAATGGTTACCAGGGCTTATCGACAGAGCAGCCTTACACAGCTGCCCTTCCTCAAGATCACACTGGCATCAGTGACGTGCTTGGAATGACAACTGGGCACACAGGAGATGTGGCACAGATGTAAAGATAACAACTAGGAATGGAACAGAGCTTGCCCAGAGGACATCCTAAGTCTTCTTCATAGGAAGAAAAAGTTGTCCTGTGCTTTTTTATGGCCATATGTATATTAGACAAGATGATGCCATGTCTGATACATCCTCCAAATCATTTCTTAATAATGACATATTTTTTAATAACTTTGGCTATTACCTAAAACTTATTACAATGTTTTAAATTAACCCTAATTACAATCCATTAATGAGAATCTGTAGTTAATTTGGTTGGGTTTTTTTTTTTTTTCCCAAACAGAATTATTCCTCTTCCTCTTTTCTATTTCAATAATATGTAATAAAAACAGAAATCAGGGAAGTCAAATTTAACAACACTTCTACAATTACTAATGACCCAGTTTCATTGCAAGATGAAAAAGTATCTGGAAAGTCTATTTTATGTTCAATATGACTTTTGTCATTCTTAGAAGATGCAGCCATATCTGATAAAAGTATTGTACTTCAAATGTAAGTAGGCTTGTTCCAGTTCCATTAGTGGAGTCTGCAAATATAGGAAAAAGTAAAAAAGACCAGGTTAATATGAAAAATTACTTACCTGACAGAAACGGAGACTTTTGTAATGTGTCAGGTTACCATTGCTTTGAGCCATTGGCAGTAACTGGTGTTTTCAACTAAAACATAAATTAATCCTTCTCCAAATTTAGAAATCAAGATATAATGCTGGTCAGGTGCAGATTTCTTCTGTTTCCTCACCAACCTACAAAGAGAAGGGCAGGGGCTTGAAAAGTCTGTAAAGGTGATGTTTTAGTGGCCAGGACACCTCATTTGCTACCACGCATTGCTCCATGTAACTGTACCTGAGAAGTCAGTTACTTTTTTGGAAAAAGCACCTACTGTGGAACTGCTACTGCCCATTTTTAAATTAATTTCTATTTTGTTTAGGAAAAAGTAGGTGGCTGAGAAATGCAGTTTTGTTGTCAAAAACTAGGTGAGTACAGAATAATTCTTCATCATGGGTACAGCCTTTCTGTGTATTACATTTTTAGTAAAATAAATGGTAACTAAACATTAAAATTCCAAATACTATCTTGCTTACAAATTTAGGTCTGGTATATGGGTTTGGAAGTGGCAAGGCAACATATATCCACAGAACCAGTACAGACTGTTCCATCTGAGGCTTCACTGCCATCCCCTGTGGCAGTGTAGGCTTGGCTGTGCAGATATTAATATTCTGTTTATCTGTCCATAAAGAGTACAAAGGAGCAGAATTCTTGCACATTATTTTGAAGTCTCTTTTAGAAATACAGCCAATCAATTCCTAGTATTAACTATAGATATATGACTATACAATGAATATATGTATTATTTCATGTCAACTCCATTCTCAATACCACACTGAACAATGTGAAAATGAAGGTAGGTCATAGCTCATTGAAAAGATAAAATAGGAGCAGTTTCAATGTAACTAACAACAATTGCCTTTTTTTTTTTTTTCTTTTTTAATATCCATGCTGATATGGAAATATAAAGCTCGGGTTATTCAAATGAGAGTAATGGGACTAAATGTAGAGGACATTGACCCTTCAGGGATGGTAGTTAAAATGAAATACCAAAAGAAATTATCACATACAGATTTGGTTTATAAGTCTTGCTACAGACTGATATTTCAGTCCTTTGTATGCTCCTTTCAAACAGTATTTGTGTTGGCACTTCATTGTCCTTTCCCACACAGCCTCACTAGGCTTTTTGGGAACTGATGCTATTTGGGAAGATTTTTCTCTTTAAATATCTTCCTCTCTAACAAAGTTTTTAACATAAGGGAAGGCCAAGCCAAGAAAACTAATATAGTTAGGAAAGAAAGTAGGGTAGCCACAGCCAGTACACACTGACTTTGGTACGTGATCCACTTTTCCATTTGAGACATTTTGTGGATTTGAGCAGGTCAAGTGGAACAAGTCTCTATTATGGGAGTGTGAAAAAATGTAGAAATCCATTCTCTTGCACCTTTCTCAACACTAGGTGCTTTACTATCAGAGGGAAAGTATAAACAAGAATTACAAAAGATTTTGGCTATACATGTTACACAGACAGGAGAATGTTAGATTAAAGCAAACTCTGAGTCCATGGAAATCACTAAATAAATGTTTCCTTCACAGGGAAACATCTTATTGCTTTGAGCATTCAATCTCTTTTCAAATCAATTTATTCTGGTTGCAAAGGAAAAAATAATTAATATGGGAAGGTTTATCCATTAAAAAAAATGCCAGTGATATCACTACTATTCTGTCATCCTCAACAGAATTATTTTCGTGATGTTCTTTGCAAGCATGGAAAACAAATTGTAAGAAGACCATCTGTTAGTGCGTAGTACTACACCTGCTTAGTTGTCTTCTGGTGCACAATCTAAAAAATTAAATGTCATCATTGGTATTGCAACTGCCATAACAAAAAATCTGAAATTAATGTTGTGATGAATCTTTAATCTACAAGTAAAACACAAAGCTTTCTTCTGGAAACTTTGGATTGGGAATGTTTGGGAATGTTTCTCAGCTAGAGACCTCAGACCTTGCTCTAAAACCTCTAGCCATTCAAGTAACTCCTTCACTAGTGAACTATGAGTTCTTTTGCTGTAATGCTACAGAGCAAATAATAATGGCTTCATTTTTGGGGTATTGTATATTTTAAAACAGCATTTATAGGGAATTAAAAATGGAGTAGTAATGAACATCTGCTGTATCAAATCACATCATATAAGATGAGCATCTCAGCATCGCTAACTTGCAGTGAGGTACTCTCATAAACTGTAGCTTCCCCCACCCCAAACTTCATTAAAAATGTCTGAAAAGAGTCACTGTTCCTTCCAAATTCAGTCAGAAAGCCACACAATGAGAAAGGGCTGCTCCTTGTCACACTGAGAACCTCCTACATTGCATTAGTATGCCCCATGGCAAGGGAGGATCAGGGGACCGTGCACGTAGGAAAATGCTCTGACTATGGGAAAAGAATGACCTTCCTGAGAAAGTATGTGAAAACAGTAGAAATATCTATAACCTAGCAGAAATAAAAGAACATAATAATTTACACATATACTAAATTTACAGTCAGTTTTAGTATGCCTTTTAGAAATGCAACACAAAATAATGCTTAGATGTGAGGTGTAAGAACAAGATTTCATGACATATTTTGTCTAATATTGTTATTTATATGGATAATGCTTCTGTCATTAGAATACACATACACAGAGCTGTTTCACATGCTAGCAGATAGATTGAAAAAAATGTACCTACTCACAAGTGTTAATCACCTCTGTCTTTCATCTTAATAGACAGAAAAATACCTTTCCACTATATGAACATGTGCCAGATAGGATTATAAATGTTCCATTCTTATTCTCATAAAGATTGCATTTAAAAAAATTAGCTTTTAACAATGTTCCCTTTTCCCTGATCTTTCTTTGGCCATTTCCTACCTCATTTGTTGCTTTTGGCTAAGAAATGCAAACCCTGAACTTTTATTTCACTGCATACAACAAGACAGATTTTAGTGACAGAAGCCTCCTGAGTGCCCAAAATGAAATTAAAACTGCATTTGGCATGAAACTGTCAAGCCTTTGTTTTAGAGCTGGGTAATGCCACAATGCCCAGGGAAGGATGTCAATTTAGTGTCCTCCTTCTCAGTCCTCCTTGTTGGCAGAAAAGATTTGTTAGCAGCAGCTTTAGGGGTTTGCCCTTACAGAGCAGCCCCTGGTCAGGCAGGTGTGAGCAGGTAAGGAACGGTGACTGTCGGGGCTGGGAAGTGATTGAAGTGTGGCACAGTGAGTGCACTCAGTGCCAGGCACATCAAACAAAGCTTTGTACCTCACCCACACAACCAGCTTTTGCTCAGATCCTTATGGCTTTGAATTACTGGATTCTTATGGAGCCTTTGAATTCACATATGATTTTCTGAAGGACAGAATAAGTTCCGTGGAAGTCGTTCTTCTGGGAGGTAGAGGCATGGGCTAGAACAGACCAGTTCACTGCTCCTGAGGCACTAAGAAGGCTCTGCATGCACATACAAATCCCAGGATCCATCTTCCTTATCACTGAAAAAGTACTGAAGGGGAGAAAAAAAGGTAAATACTGAAGGGGGAAAAAAAAAAAAAAAAAGAAAAAAAAAAGAAGAAAAAAGGTAATGCAAAGGGTTTAATCTCTCACATCACAAATATGACAAAGATGACACTGTTTCCCTGATGTGAAAAGCTTTGAGAGGAGAGAAGCTGCATCTACCACATCTTACCTTTAACATTGTGCCCCTTGGTGTAAGCAGAGCAGGCACAACAAAATTCCCATTCAATACAGGTAAGATTTATTGCCAGATGCTTTTTCTAAAACCTAGAATGGCAAGTTAGAAGGTATATTTGGATTTTATGCTGATGCTGCCAAAATGCTTTGCTCTGAGTTGAGCTTCTTCACTCCCTTGTGGTTCCAGCCAAAAAGAACCTCTAGTTTTGCAGAAGTCTTGATTGTTGTATAACTTCTTTCCTATTGATAATCAGTCAAACAACAGAAAATTAGGTAAATCTACTGCATGATGATGAGACCCTCTGATCTACTGCTACAGTATGGGAGTGCTACAGCTCCATAGCCACAAACAGCCTTTACACCAAGAATGAAAAACAAATTATAGAACCCTTTGATATCCTTCCAATAAAGCCTCACCACATTCAAAGTCTCATAAATTCTGCTACTTGAAAAGCAACAGAACATACTCACACTACTTTCAGTAGAGGAGCTGCTGGAAAGGGCTGTCTTGTTGCAAGAACCTCTGTAGAAAAAGTTATAAAAACAATGGTAAATCTTCCCTTCACATCCCTTAAACACCAGAGCACAAACTGCTGCTATCTGATTTCTGTCCATGAAATGGTATTTTGAGTTTCCAGTGATTACGGTGAGAACAGTAAGGTAGTAGGGAAAAAAAAATAAAAATTACTCTCCTGAACAACCCTGAATGCAAAAACATGGAAGAATTGAGGTTTTACAGAATCACAGAATCATTAAGTTTGGAGAAGACACCTAGACAGAAGACAGTCTTCCAGGGCTGGTGACTCCATCACTTCACTGACAGGGTGGTTAAGCATTGGAACGGGCGGTCCAGGGAAGAATTTCTTCCTGACGTCCAGCCTGAACCTCCCCCAGCAGAACTTGAGGCCGTTTCCTCTTGTCCTGTTGCTGTCCTGGGAGGAGAGCCTGCCCCACCTGGCTACAAGTTCCTTTCAGGCAGCTGTTTAGTGTGATGAGGTCTCCCTTGAGCCTCCTTTTTACCAGGCTGATTCCAAACCATGCATAATATGGGGAAGCTATTTAGAATGCTGCTCTCATCTTGCTCCTCACTTTAGAAAGGAATTCTCATTCACTGTGCCCAAGCCCTTTTTTCATGTACCCAACTGAGAGCTTGGAATCCCTCTGCTACTACCTGGCTGCCTGTTGTCACCTGTGGATATCCAGCAGTGGATCATAACTTTGTTTTCTACTGTCTTTTATATTTACTGAGAAAACTGTTACAGCTTTTGGGGTATAGAAAACATTTAGGAAAAGTGAACTTCACTACTTAAAGTAAGGTTTGAAAAACAACAATCAAAGCAACCAAAAAGCTTCACAAACAGAGGAGCATATATTTCTTTATATAATTTTAATGTTATGTCTTTTGATACAGCTAATGCACAAAGCTGACTATTAAAATTCCTATAATATACTTTTTTTTCTAACCATCTCTATTAGAGGCTTTTATAATTAGATACATGAGGTGAAAAGCAATTCAGAAAATGTCTTTTTCAGCTTTAAATATCAAACAAACTCCTAGGGAGGTAGATTTACCTTCTGAACAAAGACACAAGAGAAATAGATATAATAGAGAACTGAAAGCAGAAGGATCTGCAAGAAGTCATAAATAGAAATTTTTCTTTTCTCTGAATCTTTCACTGCTTTCTTTTGTGGCCAGACCTGGGGGCTTGCTAGTGCATCACCCCTACACTTCAGGCAAATTGAAAGATTTAATTCACAAAGAAATTAATGCCTGACAATATGCATCAGCTTTTGCTAATGAACTTCATAAACCAAAGTTCACTAAAAATAAATATCTTTAAATGTTACAGGCATTACCTATACTTGATACATTTGTGCTCATCCATAGGTGCACATGACAAAAAGAAGTATATATATAATATATATATTTATATATATATAAATGTACATATTAACATACCACACCTACAGCTGAGCACATCACCTACAGCTCAACAGCAGCATCCATGATGTGTTTTACAACATATTGCTCATATAGTTTATAGCAATGGAGATCTAAGAAAAGTCTTGAAAAAAGCATTTTTAAAATGCTTTATTAATAAATAATAAATGCAAGATGTATTAAAAAAAAATAGAAGGGAAGGGAACTTAAGGGAACGTAGGCCAGCTTCTCTTGCTGCCTGGGGTTACTTAACTCAATTGCAATATTCATGAGTGACACGGTAAAAGGGCAGTGGTTCTTAACATGGCAAAGACAAAATAAAACCATTTGAATTTTTATCAGCTCAACCACCACCACTTGGGACTGCAGTGTACCAGAAACACAGACAGAATCCCAAGTTCCACTTCTGACACACAATTTCAGCTGATTGATGGCACCCTGCCTGATAACTTGATGCTTGTATGAGGTAAAAATCACTTTTCAGTCTTGCCTACTCTTTTGGTTCATATACCTCAAATGTCCCTGTAGACCATATTTTATACAGTGGGCATTTATGTGGTTTTGAGTAAAGTTCCATTGACATGGTTATAAAGATTTTTTCTTCTTAAATTTATTTTGGTCAGATTAATCTTTGAAGTTTACTTTGTTCCAAAGTGTCTGTAAGGATGAATGTTTGATAGCAATGTCTGAAAGCTCTTAACCATTTCTTTATTTGCACAGTAGAAGGAAAAAAAAAGGAAGAAAATTTATTTTAATGAGACCATTCCCCACAATGAGAATATTTTGAAGGGTTGCAGACATTGCTGTAACAGTGGCCTAAGTCAAACCATACACCAAATGCATCACAAATTGTAGTTTCCTTTGCTAAGCATAATACCTTATTCTGTCTGGGTTTCAAAACACTTTTCTAAGATGTTAAGCCACTTCCCACAAACTTCACTCTCAGGAAGTTTGAATTGGCTGCCTTTCCAAAGAGGTTTCAAGGATGCTAGTGTTCTCAGCTTTGTAAACTCAAAATGAACTTGTATTCATGTTTCAGATCAAATGAATGGCTTGAGTTTTATATTTTATTTTTTAATCACTGTGGTGGCACTTTGGAATCCAAATATGCAGTTCTCCTTTTCTTTTTTTTCTTTTCTTTGTAAGCATTTGCTGTCATATTTTGCCCAGTCTGACAGAACCATTAGCATCAGACTTTTCACAGCAAAAATACTCAAACAAAGATATTGTATTTCTAAGTCAGAGGCTGAGGGAGAACTCAGAAAGGCTCCATGACAATAAATAAAACCAATAATAATCTAATGAAATAGATAATACACAGTGGTCTCAACACACCTGAAAAGATCCACTGAAATGTGTCTCTAATTTATTTTCTTTTTTTAGATTATGCTCATTAAATTTATAAGCCTTAGACATTTTGATTTAAATAATATATTAAGTAGCAGTGATAACAGCACTAGCAGCAATATACTTTTCCTAGGTCTGGAGGAAAACAAACTGAACCAACCAAAAAGAAAAAAAACTAAACAACTCAGTAGTTATCCCTAGGACTTCAAGAGCACTATCAGGTCAGAAGCAAATTTTGAGGTACCCATGGATATAACACAAGAGAATTTTTACAATTATCCCACATACATAATGAGCAAAAATGAAATTAATAATGAAAAAGAAAACACAGTTGAAAGTTCTAGGCATAAAAGTCATGAGTCCAGATTCTAGCACAGCCTTAAGAACTAAAACTCTGTACATTTGAGAGAGAGCTGCTGCAAGGCCCAGCCAAGGACAATCTGTTCTGAAGGTATGTAGGCTTGACAGACAAGGGGGCATTGTCTGCACAGAAATAATGTGAAGCAGTCACAGTTCCTATTTTCAGCCATGAACCTGCTGAAGATGAGGGTGTTTAATGTCTCTAAGCAGTCCCTAAATTGCATTGCACCAGTTTACTCTTCCACAAGAGCAGAGTCTTGAATTTCACCACCCTTTCAGACACTCCTTTCATATCTTCTCTCCTACTTATGAGTGTTCTGACATTTTGGCACAAAAGCCAGAATGACTCAACCGTCATGTGTGGATTTAGGAGACTACAGCATTCCCAGGCAGTCACTAGATAGGATTATTTAAAATTGGGGTGGAAAATAGAATGATAAAAGCACAGAGAAGCAATGCTGCTGCCTATTGATTGTCAGCTAGTGCACACAGCCCATATTACACTTTTGGAGACAGCCTAACAAACTCCCCTTAGTGACTGGATGTGCAGCTAAATTGAATATATTGCTTTTACCTTCATTCCTCATGTGCACCAGACACCACCTTGACATAGAGACTGGGTCTGTCTGAAACATACTTGGATTCAGCAAATTTATTACAGTTGATAGCAACACCTGTCAATACCTAGAAATTAAACAAAAAGCCTTCCAGAAGCTCAAAGTGTCTCCCAAATTATTGGAAGATCTGTAGGGGTTAATGCTTTACACATTTTCCATGTTTATTCATTTGAAGAGTTGGCTGTTTGGGTGCTTAAAAAAACAACTTTAGAAGAAATTAAAAGGAAACCTTAGAAGTCTTCAAAGAAACACAGCTCCTACCAAACATAAACCAGCACTATAAAACAGTCATAGTCACATAATTTAAAAATTATTTTTCATGTAACTGAGCTGCACTACAATAAATATTCTGGACAGTAGATGTCCTAATTGTAACTTGGCAACACCTTTTGGCTGGACCAACATATTTAAATAAAGTGTCAGACAGTTATTGAGTAAAATCCAACTTATAAGGCAAAGAAACTACTTCAGTTTGAGATGTGCAATAAGCAGCAAACATATACTGCTAGGTTTTTTATCTCTTTATAAAATAAACATACAAAATGTGAATCTGATAGAAGTTCCACAGCTGTTGGGTTAAGGCTTTTTAAAAAATATTTGTGATGTTTTCCTTGTCTTAATGATATGGACATGTAGAAGAATCCCTGAACTGTGTTAAATGTGATGTTTCTAGCCAGGGAATTTCTCAGTAAAACCAGTGAATTAATTCACAAGATAAAAATAACGAGATCAAAGATAACCTCCATCGCCAATCAGTGTTGGAAAGGCAGGTCCATCATACAATGTTAACACAAAGGTCAGATAAGCCTTGTTTTTATATAAACAACAGGCAAAAGTGCTCTGAGGCTCTGAGAGCCCATAAATCTGAGACAATGTATAAAAATGGATTCAGACTGTCTCCAGGTACCATCCAGCCAATCAATCCTACTCTCCAGACTCAAGATCTGTTGGCCAAATAAAGGTGAATAACTTTAGTTACTCTTCCTCTAAGGAAGGAAAAGGTAAAGCATGAAGAAATTCTACAAGTCACAGTATGAAGTATAAATAGCTTAAGGTTTTAGAAAATAGAAGCCAGGGAACTGAGCATTTCTGGATAACAAATACAAGGGCTTGTTTTAGACAAATGCATACAGAAAGCCTTAAAATAACTGACAGCTTTACTTTGTTGTTCTACTTCACTGCTTTTCCAAACTATTTTGGATACTTCTGAAATCTGTCTTTTCTGTGGAGAATAAATTTCAGTTGCAAGAAAAAGCT